ACTCCGCGGGTCTGGGTCCCAGCCAGGCACGCCCCCCTCGCCATGGGGCAGCGCCCCCTAGACCAGAACAGGGAGGGGCCTTCAGAGCCAGCCCCACCCTGGGGCACATGCTCTGCATCTTGAGCCAGCTGCCCATGCCAGCAGGGCTCCTCAGGCAGCACAGACGGTGGGCACCACTGGCGTCGCGATGCCAGGAACCCAACCCCACGCCTCAGCCAGGCTTAGAGGAGCCTGCTCAGGATCTGCCCCACGCAGGGGCCCTGGCGAGGCCTCCGACAGGAGCCCAGCCCCAGCCACCCACCTGGCATTGGCCACGCACTCCATGGTCACTTCCGAGGTGCCGGCCACCACGCTGGTGTTCCTGGGTGGGATGATGATGGTGGGAGCGATGGGATCAGCCGGGCCGCCGACATCTAAGGGGAGCCAATGGCAGAGCACACACTTAGCAAAGCACCCGCCTCCTCGGCTGGTGGGCGAGACTCCCACAAGAGCAGGGCGCGAGGCCACGCCCCAGCTCTGAGCACTAGTGAGCTGTGGTGGTCTGAGTTGCACGCTGCCAGCCCTGTGGGTGCGAGCACTAGTGAGCCGGGGTGGTCAGTCGCACACTGCCAGCCCTGTGGGTGTGAGCACTAGTGAGCCGGGGTGCTCAGCGTTGCACGCTGCCAGCCCTGTGGGTGTGAGCACTAGTGAGCCGGGGTGCTCAGCGTTGCACGCTGCCAGCCCTGTGGGTGTGAGCACTAGTGAGCCGGGGTGCTCAGCGTTGCACGCTGCCAGCCCTGTGGGTGTGAGCACTAGTGAGCCGGGGTGCTCAGCGTTGCACGCTGCCAGCCCTGTGGGTGTGAGCACTAGTGAGCCGGGGTGCTCAGCGTTGCACGCTGCCAGCCCTGTGGGTGTGAGCACTAGTGAGCCGGGGTGCTCAGCGTTGCACGCTGCCAGCCCTGTGGGTGTGAGCACTAGTGAGCCGGGGTGCTCAGCGTTGCACGCTGCCAGCCCTGTGGGTGTGAGCACTAGTGAGCCGGGGTGCTCAGCGTTGCACGCTGCCAGCCCTGTGGGTGTGAGCACTAGTGAGCCGGGGTGCTCAGCGTTGCACGCTGCCAGCCCTGTGGGTGTGAGCACTAGTGAGCCGGGGTGCTCAGCGTTGCACGCTGCCAGCCCTGTGGGTGTGAGCACTAGTGAGCCGGGGTGCTCAGCGTTGCACGCTGCCAGCCCTGTGGGTGTGAGCACTAGTGAGCCGGGGTGCTCAGCGTTGCACGCTGCCAGCCCTGTGGGTGTGAGCACTAGTGAGCCGGGGTGCTCAGCGTTGCACGCTGCCAGCCCTGTGGGTGTGAGCACTAGTGAGCCGGGGTGCTCAGCGTTGCACGCTGCCAGCCCTGTGGGTGTGAGCACTAGTGAGCCGGGGTGCTCAGCGTTGCACGCTGCCAGCCCTGTGGGTGTGAGCACTAGTGAGCCGGGGTGCTCAGCGTTGCACGCTGCCAGCCCTGTGGGTGTGAGCACTAGTGAGCCGGGGTGCTCAGCGTTGCACGCTGCCAGCCCTGTGGGTGTGAGCACTAGTGAGCCGGGGTGCTCAGCGTTGCACGCTGCCAGCCCTGTGGGTGTGAGCACTAGTGAGCCGGGGTGCTCAGCGTTGCACGCTGCCAGCCCTGTGGGTGTGAGCACTAGTGAGCCGGGGTGCTCAGCGTTGCACGCTGCCAGCCCTGTGGGTGTGAGCACTAGTGAGCCGGGGTGCTCAGCGTTGCACGCTGCCAGCCCTGTGGGTGTGAGCACTAGTGAGCCGGGGTGCTCAGCGTTGCACGCTGCCAGCCCTGTGCTGCGGGGGAGGAGGGAGGGGCCCCGGCGGGCACTGGGGTGCAGAGCCCCGGACGGGCCTGGCCGAGTTGGGGAGCTGCAGGGCACAGCCCCGGTGCACTCGTGCCTGGGGAGTTCCTGTCCTGTGCAGAGTCCCCAGAGCTTCTCCCATTCCCCGGGGTCCGGACCGGGGCTGGGCGGTGCTGAGGCCAGGGCAGCCCTGGGCCCCAGGGGCCTGTGGCTGAGGGAGGCGTCCGGGGGACAGGCTGGGCCGCCGATATAAATAGCGACCGGCCGCCTCCTGCAGCATGGCCCAAAGAGCCGAAATAAATTTCAAGGAGGCTGAGCTGTTAAGTCAGCAAGAAGCTGACGCCTCCGACGAGATTTACTGCAAATTAAATGTGGGTCTGAGCCAACGGGCGCGTCTGGCCAGAAGCCAGACACTGGGGGGACCCTCCTGGGCGGGGCAGGAGCGGGGTGGAGCGGGGACCCTCCTGGGGCCAGGAGAGCTATTTATGGGGAGCAATTCCCTCAGAGAACAGAGGGCGCAGGCTGCACCCCCCCGCTCAGTGTTCTGCCGCTGGCTGCTCCCCCAGTGTCCCTGGGACCACAGAGCCATTTACACTCCCTGCCCCCAGGCAGTTCTGGGTAACGCCAGGCTGAGCATGCAGAGCTGTCACCTTCTTCTCATTCAACACAGAGGGGAGGGAGTGCACCCCCACCCTTCTGTGCACACCTGCCCGCCCGTGTACACCTACCCAGCTGTGCACACGTGCCCTTCTGTGGACACCTACCCGCCCGCATACACGTGCCCTTCTGTGCACATTTACCCACCCTTCTGTGCACACTTTTCTGCCCGTGCACACCTACCCGCCCACGTACACATGCCCTTCTGTGCACACTTACCTGCCCTTCTGTGCACATAAGCCTGTCCATGCGCACATTCCCTTCTGTGCACACTTTTCTGCCCATGCACACCTACCCACCCGTGTGCACCTGCCTTTCTCTGCACACATGCCCTTCTGTGCACACTCACTTGCCTGTGCACACCTACCCATCTATGCACACGCACCCGTCTGTGCACACCCACCCTTCTGTGCCCACCTATCTGCCCGTGCACATGCATCTTTCTGTGCACACATGCACTTCTGTGTATTCCTGTCCACCCGTGCACACCCAACCACCCATGCACACCCACCTGTCAGTGCACAAACGCCCTCCTATGCACACATGCTCACCAGTGCACGCCTGCCCACTCACGCACACACACACCTGTGCACACGCAAACGCTGGTGCACACAAAAGCTACCCAGGCGGCATCCCAGCAGCTCCTCGCCTCTCCGCTCTCTCAGGCTGCTCACGCAGCACACTGCACTGAGTCTGGCGTTGCAGGTTTGGCCCTGGGACCATGCGCCAGGTGGTCCAGAGCCGGCAGGACACGTATATTCTCCCTGGGATTCCTGCGCTGAGGAACACGCCCCTGGGGCAGCCTCCAGAAGCTCCCAGAGCCCCCGGCTCCCTTTCCACCCCCCCACACCCTCAGAGCCCAACACTTACTCTCCACGGTGAGCGTGATGGGCTGGCTGGTCTTGTTATCCCCGTTCTTGTCGTTCACGGCCTGCACGTAGTACCGGCCCGCGTCGGGCGCCACCGTCGACAGGATGACCAGGGTGTTCTCCAGCGTGATGGCTCTGCCGGGGGCAGCGCAGAGGAGGCAGGAGGAGGGGAACAGGGCTGGGGAGAGAGGGATCTTCGGCCCAGGGGTAATTTTGGCTCTTCTCCAGGAAGGGGCCCAGCGGACATTCGGCTCCCGAGCTCGGTGCCGTCGGGGGGGACAGGAGCTCGCGTTCCAGCTCTGACGTGGTTCACACGCTCCCATCGCGAGTGTCGCTGAAAGGTCACAGCGGGCACCGAGAGCGGCGCAGGGAGCCACAAAGGAACAAGCCCACCAAAGCCTTGATTTCGGGCAGAGCGCCGAATGCACACAATGGCTCCCGTCCGTCTTTACGGTACCCGGTGCCCAAGGACGGGCGATCGGATACTTGTCGATTAATAGAGTTTTCTTTTTTTACCCAGGGATCTAATCGGCTGGAAGCATAAAATGGTTCGCGGGAGATATTTTGCCATTAAATATGAGATAAAGGAGTTTTATCGCCTCAATCCTGCTTTGCAAATAGAAAAGAGACCAGTTCAATTCCCACATAATGTGGGTTACAAATTCAATTCCAGCTCGCCGCAGCTGTCAGAGCCCTGTGCCGGCTGCCTAGGTGTGTGCGTGTGTCACTGCACTGGCGTGTCTCCTGGGGCGTGGGAGAGCAGGTGTATCTCTCTGAGGGGGGGGCAGGTGTGTGCCCGTGGGAATGTGAAACGCACCAGGGGAGCACGTGCCTACTCGAGCAGCTGGTCTGCAGGAGAAGTTACAAGCCTCCTACCGCTGCCAGTGAGTGGAGGTACTCCATTAGTGAAAACAGCAGGCAGTCAAGGTAGGGGTGGGAAACTTTTTTTTGGTCAGGAGCCACTGACCCACAGAAAAAAAGCAGTCGGGACTCACCCACAAACAAACCAAAAAAAAACCGACAAGCAAAACATCTCCCTACTCACCTGATCCCCCAGTGAGAAGCAAAAGACCCTCGACACAAAGCAAACCAACCCCACCCGTAACTCCTCGCATGCCAGCCCTGCAGAGGTGGGTGGCACCAGGTTTGCTCTCTGCCCCTTTGTGGGGGGACCAAGACTCGGGCCTTCTAGCCCGAAGCACAGAGACTTGCTGTGGGCCAGATCCAGCCTGCAGATTCCTCACAGGCTTTGGAGTTCAAACCCCAGGGCTGCCTGAAGCAGAGGGGCTGTTTCACAGGCCTACACGGGTGTGCCCAGGTTCATCTGCATACCCCATAGGGGTGTATCTTAGAGAGCGATTACACACATGCATGACTATAGCATGCGATACGGGTGTGCACATTTAAACGTGCCTTGTACAGGCATATGTCTGAGGCTATGAGCCCTTTTGCTAGTACCTTTGTGTGTGTGTAACCACCACAGGGTGGATTTGAACCTGGGACCTCTGGAGCTTAGTATAGGAGCCTCTACCCTTTGAGCTAAAAGCCAGCTGGCGCCCAGGCTTGGCCTTATCTGTTGCTGTGGTCTAGGTGTCACTGCATGGGACAGTGAACCACACGAGGGCTATGTCTGCACTCGCGGCTACTTGTGCAAGTATTGCCGTTCTTGCGCAAGAATCCGCAGAGCGTCTGCACTGCCCGCCTGCTCTTGCGCAAGGAAATTTACAGTACGGCGTGGTAAGAGGGGGCTCCTTGCGCAGGAGGGCAGTGTGAACGCTGGGCAGGGATTTCTTGCGCAAGAGAGCGTCCACACTGCCATGGGCGCTCTTGCGCAAAAGCACAGCTCGCACATGGCAGTGTGGACGTTTTCTTGCACAAGAGTTCTTGCACAAGAACACTCGTGCAAGATGTTCTTGCGCAAGAAGCCGCGCGTGTAGACATAGCCGAGGTGTGTGAGTTACACACGTGCGAGTACATTCGAGAGGTATGTAGGCAAGCAGATAGGAGGCTGAGGTGAGATCAATCTAGGCTAAGGACTAAGCCAGGGGGAAATTCATGCCTCTCTATGAATGTATCTGTCTGTGTGGGGAGACAGAGTCATTTCCCCCGCAGACTAGTCCAGCCTGTGTGAGTTGCAGCATTTCCTCTCTCCTATTTTGTTTGGCTCCCTCTTTTTTTTTTTTTAATTCATTTTCTCAATGATAAACAAAACCATTCGCTTGTCAAGTCTATCTCCGGCTCCTAATGTGATGCGCCGGCGACATCTGGTAAGCATCTTTAATGCTAGTTTAACAAGGACAAATCCAGGCGTGTTCCGTTCGTGTTCTCCCATTAGGTGAACGTGGTGAAGTTGGGATGGATTCTCTCCTGTCAACAGCGCCGCTAATGTCTCTGCCTCCCTGCAGCCGGGCCGGCGGGAGGGGGGGATTGCGGCTCCTGACACGTGGCTGAAAGGCTGAGAGAGACGGCCAAAGTACCATACCGCAGCCTCACGATAGCGATGATCCAGCAGGCTGTCCCAGCCCAAACTCAAATAGCCTGACCCACAGCTTAGCACATTCCACGGGTGCAGGTACACCCCCACCTGGCTCTGCCCCCTTCTGTGGTCCCACTGCCCCTTGAGGTTTCAGAATGAAGATGAACGCAGCCTCTCGGAGCTATGGGAGCAGGCTCTCTGCAAACGCAGGCAACAACAGTCATGGCCGGTTCACATTGTCGTGGTTTTTGCGGCACGCAGGAAAGCTAGAAAAACTGAGAGGGTCTTAAATGAAAGCTGGGGTGAGAGTTCACTTTGCATCTCCCGGGCCTACGATGCCCGTCATTTAAACCAGCCCTCGGCCCAAGCAACCCGGCCACGCAGGACAAGTTTGCTGCGCCAGCGTGACCCCGGTGCCACATGCTGGGAGGCAGCATCAGGTCACGGCTTAGCAGCGGCCGCGTGTCTTAAGGCTGGCGTGGCACCGGGGTGGCAGGCCCGGAGGAATCTGAGAGTTGTGTTAACCTCCGTGCCAGCAGGCGAGACGCGTGACCCCACAAAACCTCAGGAGAGGTGCCCTTGGGTGACCAGCCTGCTGGCCTACGGAGAGCGCGGGCCAATTCTTCCAGCTTGGGGCTGCTGGAGAGAGCAGCAGCCTTTGCAGTCAGGGTGGGACGGGAAGTCAAGTCTATGGAGCCGCCAGAGCTGAGAATCCCACCCAATGGCAGAAGGCGACTGGGCCTTGATGCATGCTGGGATGGGCTACTCCGAAGGCACTGGGGGCCTGGGACTTAGATTTGCAGAGCACTGGGAAACCAAGCGCGACAGAGATTTTGAGGTCAAAGGGATGTGGCTCCCGTTAACATGATTATCCCCTTCCCTTTGCCTCTGTACAAGGAGAAGAACCGGCACTCCACAGGTCCGTCAGCAGGGGGCGCTCTTTGCTCCCAAATAGTTTTGGAGCAACGCTCTGACACGCCACTAGGAGGCGCTGTGCTGCTGGAGGTGCTGCAGATGGTGGTTAGTGTGTTGGACCGGTTCTGTTCTGCTCTGGGCTCCCCCTGGAGAGTTCGGCTCCTTCGCCGTATTCCCCAGCGCCTGCCGCGTGGCTGCTTGCTGTCCCGGGAGGGGTGCGTGTGCCAGGACGGCTCTAAGAACAGACTCGAAAGCCCCGAGTGGATCCCGGGGATGAGAGGGGTTCTGGGAACATAAGGACAATGATGTACGGAGCAGCCTGGGGTCCCCAGCAGGTGGCTGGGTCTGACCTGCTCATGCTTTTCAAGAAAATGAACCCTTCAGGTGCCTCACGGGGAAGAGTCGATTCGTCCTTGTCCCGCAGGCAGACAATGCAAGACTTAGCGCCAGCTGCTCTCAGGCCGGCTCCACCCCACTGGCTCCAGCGCTCAGGG